GTGAACTCTTATGTAATGTGTACGTGATTTATCAACTATTGGTCTACCAGACCTCGGATGCTAAAGTCCTTGTTAGATTCCCAAAATTAACAGATAATATTTCTATCTTAATAACTTAAACAGCGATTAGAATTTTATAATAAAATGACGTATGTGAATAATTCACATATTCATCATAAGATAAAGGATACAAAAATAAACGTGTAATTAAAAGCTGTAAGCAGTGAATCCAACTAAAAATGTCTTGTTTAATACCGAGTGAAGCTAACCAGGCTTTTAACAACCGGCCCAGAAAGGGTGAGGTCGATAACTGCAGCCAATATGGTCGTTCCTTCTCGTCTTATTACTTGCCTACCCAATATCTTAGCGCCAGTATTGGAAATGAGCATAAAGATAAGCTTATCTTGGGTATCATGAAATCGATTTTGAAGCTTAACACGTACAATCGATCAATTATGTAATTTATCTAATCGATCACGCAATCTCCCTGTCTGAGGCTGCACGTGAAGGTCAAGGTTGATACAACGCGCGTGATGACAGACGTTATGTATATTAGAACGCGTCACTCAAGAAGTGTATATCTGATCGAATAGACGTATAGACTGTTTACACGGTAACCTGCCGACAGATAACCTGCCGACACTGCCATCAAATTAAGAACTGAAATACGTCCTTTTTATCACTTATAATACATGCTGTATGCAACACACTCTAGTTCAAATATGTTCCATATGTACAGTTTATAGAATACAGAACTTTAAAAGATTCAATCAAAAATGTTAAAAAGATGCATTTTAATCATTATTTTTACACTCAAAACTACAAAGAAAAATGCATTTCATCTAAAGGTGGTATATTTTGGGTTTTCGGTTCATTATCCATTTATAAAATATATAGGATGGAGACAGAAAATGAAAATATCAATAACTTTTTTGTATAAAATATCTGTTAACATTGCAACGTTCTTACCTTTTTAAAGATATTTAAGATTTTCATCCAATCAATAGAAATGTGTTATTTATCTTCAGCACTAATGGTATATAATCCTGCCATATAACGATATTATCACGGTCTCCGATAGGAGGTAAAAGGAGGTTCGGAGACTACATTTTTAACTGTTTCATTGAAGTGTCAGTGAACTTCTATGCCATTGTTAATATTTGTAAACAATAACACTTTTGAGCAAAATATTTCAAAGATTGCAAGGTTTTTGAAACATGTGTACCGTATAGTTGTCTCGAGCGTGAGAGCGAAAGTCGACAGGGAGCGAATATATTTTGAAATACCGAAAACCAAGAATGACAGTTTACAATCAGTACGTTACATGTAATGAGAATTTCAAATGCCGTAAAAGAGAAATTCGGTCAAGCTGAATTTTCGTCCCTTTCGCCGGTGAAGAAAAAATTCATCACAGGGAAAATAATGTGATAGATAGATTGCAAATTCTACTAAAGGGACGAAACTCATAGGCCGGAGCTCAGACAGCCAAAACGTAAGTAGCACGGCCGGAACTCAGGGAGCCAAAACGTAAGTAGCACGGCCGGAACTCAGAGAGCACACTATAGTCTATTCNTTTCCCCCAACATATGGAACCCCATGAACTCCCCCCTCCACCCCCTCCCCCCGTTGTTACCGGTATACCAAATTAAATAGATAATCTTTAAATTTTTGATTCACTAAATAGTATCATAAGTGTGATCTTTGTTTGATTTGTAAAGCTCGCCGGCAATTATAAAGAGATTTTCAATTGGTGTTCTGTTTGGGATGTTAAAAAATGAACGTATTCAATTTTCCCTTTGAAAACAAGATTTCACCCGTGATAACAGGAGGTTAGTTATTGTAAACAACTCACTATAGTTTCTGTAAACTTGACAAAACCCAGAAGCTTGATAGACGAGAAACCACACTGAGCGGCCTTTGTGCTGTACTGTTTAATACGTATGCTCCACACGTGACGCCAGGTCAGAATGACCGGTGTTTTTTTTTTATTGAAGACGGAAGGAAGGGAATTTTCAGTTCGGTAGAAATAGTGTGAGAACATTTACTATATTCCTTGATTGTCCTAGCTTATGATCATGTCTGATGAAAGTTGACAACGTATGATCGAGCTGCCTAGCTGTAATGTGTTTATCAATGTATTTTGTTTATTTAGAAAAAAAAAAGAAAAAAAAAGTATTTGGTTTTTACATAAAAAATGGCACTCGACGAGTTCTTTGTAACTTCTCTTCGCAACGTTCATTGTGATGATATTGGGTCACTCGCTGGTGTTTTTAATGTTTCATCTTTCTTAAATACATAAACTGGGTCATTTTCATCACGAGTTGATAGAAAAGACTAGCAGATATAAAATCACTGACTTCATACAGTTTGATAAAAATTTTGAAAAGTATTATAAGATTGGAAATTTCACCACCTTTTTGCTGTGTACAGACCTTAAAGATGTTTTCCTTTGATGATTTTAGGGAATAAGAACATTTTGAAACTATTGAATTACATTTATGTAAAAAAGATATTTTGGTCGGTAGAGCGAAGTGGAAAAGCTCCTTACGTCATAAAGTCCTTTATCATATCCCAACGATGGAGATGTTTATCTGTGGAGATTAAACATATGCACCTTTTTCATTCTTTCGTATATAAGTCGCTGCATGTGTAAACTGACAAATAACTCTAAGAATAACTATATAAGTCCACAGTACATCATGTTTGCTTATGTGATTTGTACTATTTAAATACGGCTGAAACCACCTCTAAGTTCTTCATTGAAGATAGTACGCAGAGCGCTGGGACTCGCTATCTTAATTCATTGTTAATTCTGATTATACGAAACTTACAGTAACTGTATTAAACCTTTTTATTATTAATATATTACAGCAATGCAGACGGCGTCGTGATTCAGGAATTCAAAGCAGAGCTACAACATTAATCCTTCCCTTTAACAGTGTTTTCAGGTCAACATAAGATAAAGTTACTTTAAAACGCAAAAGACAAAAATATTCCGTTTGACTTTGATAAACAAATACGAAATGTCTTCTTTAAAATACCAGCGCTTACTAAATAGATAAGTAATTAGTTAACCATATGCCGGGAGCTTTGGTCTCTTATGGAAACCCTAATTACAAAATCCGCAGCCAGATATTAATCTAGGGGAATTAGTAAATTATGTTTATCACAGAAATTCGAGCAGGTAAATAGATAAGGTATGTATTAATGTAGCGAGACAGCAATCGTAAAATATTTAGTGGTAGATCTCGGAGCATTTACGATTAATATAGATAGAAATAAAAACCATGGTCTGAAGTAGTGTTTTTGTGTTTGTTCAAAACACATGTATGCCATCTGCTCGTGCTTTGATGGAAATTAAGTTCAAAATCTTTTGATGGAAATTAAGTTCAAAATCTAACAAAGATAAGTGAAGTGGAATATTTAAGTCACAGCAGCTTACATTTTTATTAGGGTTATCACAATATATTGAAAAACCGGTATATCTCAATACACAGGAATATCGTATTGTATCGTCTACCGAGTTGAAATATCGCTGCATCGCAATAGTTTTCCTGAGCTTATTTTTTTGTATCTGCTTGTTAATCTAGCTTTGCAAATTACTTCACATTCTATCAGATATAACAGATAAACAAAAATCTTGATTGTTATTTTAAGATATTGTTTAGATATCCGACGTAAGATTCTTTCATTACACGGAATAAAACCCGCTACTCTGGGAACACACAAAATGTTGTAACTTAGCAGAAACTTAATGACATTCGATCGAAAAAACGATATATTTTATTTTAATTTGATAATTGTTAACTGGGGTTTGTTTTTAATGGCCCCTCATATTGGGCCTAATGCGTGAAAAAGGAACTCAGAAGATGTTTCACGCATCAAAAGCAACTAAAAGGTTCAACAATGGTAAACTGCTTACATCAAAGTTTCTGTTAGAGAAGCTTGTTTACTGTATTTATATGTACGCACCAAATGAACAATATTCACTCTTTATGGGACATCTAATGCGCCAAGGACGACATGTTTAAGTGAAATAGGAATTGTTGATATGTAAAATGTGAATTGCACTTTTATAATGTTCGGCTATATTGTCTGTCTGACTCTACAGTAATGATTTCGGAATGTAATATAAACCATTTCGTGACGGTATACAATGTATAATGTGAGATTATGTGTTTGTTGGCGCTTTCATATAAATACCCTTCGACCCAAGAGGTGACAAATCACACACAAAGGGTGAAGGACGCCGGGGACCACACCCGCTGCGACAGCCTGTCCGCATCTGAGTATGGCTGTCCGACCTTAAAGCGTGACCTGGTTTGGTGGGACTTAGAATCTCCGAGGGCCCGGTAAGCGCCAACTTACCCCCTTACGTCGACCAAACAGACTTAGTCAGTGAGTGTAGACGTAAAACCCTTCAACCAACCAATCAACCAGAGGTGACAAAAAGACACTCAAAATACTTTACTCATATCATTGTACCTGTCACGGGGCTTCTTTAAAACGTTCTATAAATATCACGAACCGGTTTCAGTTCACTACAACCGATCACGAAATATTCGCGAGAAAAGCTAAACTTATTGCAATAAAAACATGTCATTGTATACAGGCTATTCGAAGTAATGGTATTTTTTGCATTGTTGGTGACAAGATAAATTCTACGAATCCAGCTAACATATATTGTTCGGTAATATTACAGAGCTAAAATGATGAAACATGAATTTAAGACTGCAATGATCAATATCTGTGACAGAAATGGCAAAATTATCACGACGTGAAAAAACAATCTGATTTTAGTATGTTTAAACACCGCCGATTTAGCTTTTTGTTTATGTTCATCGTAAATTTATGGAAACAAATAGTTTAATGTCTATTTGAATTTGTTTAATTTTACATGAACATACGAGTTCGTTTCCATTTTTCCTCTCTGATTATGGTTCTCAGAACTCTGCTCCTACCACGATACTGAACAAAAATGTAAAGACGGTTTTGTTTGTATATGATGTATTTTATTATTATTATTTACACAAATGACAAGTTTATTACGTAAAGAAGAACGCCATACCGCATATCATATGTAACGTTCTGCAGTCATAACGGTGTGTATTGTGTTCGTACAACGCCACCAAACAACACAGAAGCATGCCATATCGACGTACACCGTTAGATCCCGCAAACAGCCATGTGCGAGTTGCTATGATTTGTGAAAGGTTTTCATTGTTCCCGAGACTCCTACACAGTTAACACATCGTTGAAAGAACAATACAAAACCGTACGATGCCATGGAAAGTCCATCTGAGTACGCTAAAGTAATCATCTTCATATTATCGAATTTATCGTTCGTTTTTGTTGAGCTGCATTGATGTATGTAATTGGTATATACAATACTGTTGAAGAATAGCACTCAAACTGAAGTATGTATGCTTGAAACTGGCAAGAATACACGGGTCAAATTGGCGAACGTATATAGTACACTTATACGTTTAGCTGGTAATGAGAAATTCATAAAAGCCATTCCTGTTCGTGTCATTATATCACTTCAAATATCCTCGCTTCGCACATATTTCATGTGAACGATGTTCAAGAATTACTTATATATTTCGTTAACGTTGATTACGCCATGAGTTGATGACGTAATTCGGTCTCCTGACGTCATCTCTCGGAGTAACAATGTCCGTTCCCGTTCACAACCAGAGATTGGCGGATACTCCTGTCCGAAGAATTGTGCGGAGATTTAGTACTCATAGAAATCATTTCGTCCATTGTTTTCTTTAAAGAATATCCAAAAAAGAAATTCTGTAGAGTTCTCCGAAACCGCGCACTCAATCCGACGTAAATCCAGAAGTTACAGTGATAACTAAGTAACAACAAAAAATTCTGGAATATTGCAAACGGATAATCCACTTCTCGGGTCAGAATTAGTTTATTTGTTGTTTCCTCGTAGAATTTAATCCCAAATACGATTCCATTTGGAATTTCTACCACCATAAATATAGCCATAATAATTACAACCATTAATGTTGTACGCTGTCTGCGCTGGAAATCGCGTTTCTGTCCGTCTACCATCCGTGACATGTGACGCTGTAGTATCCGTTCGTGACGTAATTTGTACGCAAGTACGGCTGTACTTATCATCATCAAAACACAAGGGATGAGCTGAACAAAGACCCCCCGGAATATGTGGTAGATAATACTAAACGGTTTCATGTCATTAATAAACCACTGAGCTAAGTCCCTTGCACAATAAACGGACGTCGTATTATCGTCCGCAATGAAATGAAACGGAAAATAATTCTTCATAAAAAATAACGGAGTGAAAAATATCGTCGGAATCAAATAAGCCATAACAGCGATAAACACCGACTTACGAATTGTCCATAATCTTGGTCCTTTGAACGGTTTTACAACAATGATACAACGCTGTAATCCTAGTGTTAATGTGAGCCAGACGGATGTTGTGTGAAATATTACCGCAAAGTAGAGCGCAAAGTCGTGAAATACACAATCCGGATATAGTAACGGTTCGTCCATTTTGTCCCTAATACCGTAAAAGAAGAAGTGTGTGATGCTCCAGAGCGCTGCAGACAATGTGTCCGACACCGCTAGTCCCGCCAAAAATACTGTTGTCACAGACCTCATCTGTTTCTTCATGAAAACACAAACGACGATTATGTTTGAAATCAGTGTCAAAATGGCTATTATGGGACAAAGAATTCCGTAAATAGGAAAAGTCAAATTTGATGGAAATTCCGGCAGAAAAAATCTTTCCTGGTTTCCATAGAAACATGTGCTGTTTTCTGTTTCGATATCTTTTAAAGAACACTCCATTGTGTTATTTGTGTTTTATTATTTTTCAGAAATAACTGGGATATATAACAAGAGTTCTAATAAGACATGGTTGTCGATTGCACTTGAGTTACCTCATTTTGCGCTCACAAAGTTAATTAGAAGCATACCTTCGACCGCCTCGCTGTTGATTCTATCCTCCTCGTGGATTTGCTTTCAATATTCCAACATGTGCGATAATCAGTACAAATCCATGTGAAATATTACAATAGTCTCAAACCAGATAGTTCACGTTCACACGTGCGTATTTTGCCTTTATCACTTCAACAATGTATAGCTTAAGAAAAATACAATTGTTGATTCGTGTGAAAATTCTTGTTTACTTCCAAACTATGCCGAGTATGAGAGAGCTCTGTACAAGTACTTAAACAGGTATAACACTGTTCCCAGTTTATTTGTATTCAAGCGTTCGTTATTCGCTCTGTTTCGCGCAATAAGAGCGTCGATGATCCCCCGTAATGCGGTAGGGTTGTAGAGAGCGTGGCCCGTTAGTCCTGCCCTCCTGAGCATGACCCGTATACAAATGTATCCCACATATCCAACAGTCTCGTCAATGCGGTCGACACAGTCAATCACAACTCAACACCTGGCGGTGAAAAGCTTAATCACTGACAAACACATTATGAATTTAATTTAAAATCCAACGAAATTCAATATGTTAAAATTTCGATTAATTTTTGTCACGCGAATGACAGGCAGATATTTATGATGGCTTTTCTTCCGTTATAACATCAAATGATATAACAGGTCCCGTATATCGCAGCTATTCCAATTAAACTCGGCTAATGAATCGACTGGTTTCTGAATCTAACAACGGCGTACTTTCTGCACTAGATCAAGCGTTGTAGTGCAAGTCTTTTAAAATACCGTTAGACTACATTTCTCCAAATGGACAAAGCTGTTAAACAACATGATACGGTGTATATGTACACAAGTTTTCCATAATAACATTTCAAATGTAATTTGAATTTAAAAGTATTTGAAGTGAAAATCCACAAATAGATAAAGAAATTGTCACACGCGCAAACCTCTATATGAAACGGTGGTAAGGAACGGAGCGGTCCGAGACGATCAAGCACGGGAAGTGCGTTATGGACGCACGTGCTGTAATTACAACTGCAGAACGTAAATGATTCCGAATGACCCACCCATCACTGCTCGTCCATACATATCTTATGCCTCCGGTTGCACACAATTGTTTATCTACTTAAAAGCATATTTGCCAGTTATCTCCCCTCGTTACTCTGTTAGATAAACACTAGCGAGCCGCAACACTATCCCTAATGTCCTGTCGGATCCCTATCTACCATCAAACCCCTAGTCAGCACGTGGGCACACGATCCGAAAATTGACGTATCGAGCAGTTCTATTGGCTGCAGGGCGCGGTTACAGAATTACTTCTACGAGACGTCCATATTGCATTGGTTGTAAGCTAAAAATGCCTTGAAACATTGAGACTCAGATTATAGCAAGCGCCAACAAAAAAAATATTCTTGTAAACGAAAATGAAATAGATGTGGATTTTGAACTTCGTCGTTTGTTCTGATGGTGTGCTGCTGCGCCGTTATAGTACCAATATACACAGATTCACTTCAGCAATACATAGTTAATACCTGTTTATTTGTCTCGCTGTGGGCGGCTTGCCGGAGGTGTGCTGTTCCGACAGACTACAGATCTAACAGGCCACGAGTTGATTATCGACACGCGCCTATCACAGGGGTTTCACAGGGTGGCAGAGATTTGTCCGAAACGAAACCTAGAGAAATGGTTGAAGCTATCAAGATTAGGTTTTATCACCAAATAACTTACATAGTTTGGTACAGCATGGCTTTGTTTGTCATTAGATGGAACATTTTTTGCTTTTACCTTTAAATTACTATTTTTTCACTCCTCCGCGAAATGTACATATAGCTTTATTGCATATAAAAGTAATAATTTAAAACTTCCACATTCTTGAAGTAATCTAACACAATTAATACTACTGTGTTTTTGGGGTGATTGGATTATTTTATACCACTGTACAACAAGGCAACATGTCGTGGTAGGTATGTCGGTATGTTATCGGACTTTAACAGGAACCATATACATTATTATTGCTGTGTATGCTTTAGTTTCCGTCTGCTCGTCATCTTTATGTAGAACAACATCGACATTAGAAACAGTATAATCGATGTGCTGTTCACCGAGGATGACACGTTGTAGAGAAGACTTTATCAGAAAATGTCGATAAGGGGTCCATTTTTAAAATGCAGCAGTGATCGAATCGTTGTTAAAATACAAAGTGGGCGACGCCCAGTTAGGATTCAAAGATGGCGGTCGAAATGATGGTCTCCTGAATGGCATCGTCAACACACAAGGTTAATATATACTTCAGTGTTGACTAACAAGGACAAAATATAATGCAGCGTCAACAACCAGGGACAAAATAGATACGACAGGGACATCATATAAAAACGAAAATAAATCACACCGTCAAGACAAAAACACTAACTTTTCCGCAGCGTAATCCACGAGAATAAAATAAACCGCAGCGTCAACACACAAAGACAGAATATATCATGTCAACACACAAAGACAAAATATATCATGTCAGCAAACAAGGACAAAATATGGACAACAAATGGAACAAATTCAGACTGCAGCGTTAATACAAGACCAAATATACAGCAACGTCGAAATACAAGGAAAACATATCACCAAAACTTCTCTACATACGGACACAGTGTCAAAACAGAATATACCACAGCGTCAAAACACAAGGATGAAATATACCACAGCGTCAAATGCAAAGGCAGAATATACCACAGCGTCAAAACACAAGGGAAAAATAAACACAGCGTCAAAACGCAATGGCTGAATATAAAACAGCGTAAATAACCAATGATTAAAAATACCACAGCGTTATAATACAAGGACAGAATATACAACAGTGTCACCACGTAATTATAAAAATAGATTACAACGTCAATACACATCTTAACAAGAACTGAATATACCACAGCGTCAAAACATCAGGACAGAATAAACCACAGCGTCAAAACGCAAGGGCAGAATATACCACAGTGTCAATCACAAAAACAAAATATACCACAGTGTCGAAACAGAATATACCACAGCGTCAAAACACAAGGATGAAATATACCACAGCGTCAAATGCAAAGGCAGAATATACCACAGCGTCAAAACACAAGGACAAAATATACCCGGCGTCAAAACGCAAGGGCAGGATATACAACTGCGTCAACACACAAGGACAAGATATACCACAGCGTCAAAACACAAGGATAAAAAATACCACAGCGTCAAAATACAAGGACAAAATATACCACAGCGTCAAAACACAAGGACAAAATATCCCCGGCGTCAAAACGCAAGGGCAGGATATACAACTGCGTCAGCACACAAGGACAAGATATACCACAGCGTCAAAAGACAAGGACAAGATATACCACAGCGTCAAAATACAAGGCCAAGATATACCACAGCGTCAAAACACAAGGCCAAAATATACCACAGCGTCAAAACACAAGGCCAAAATATACCACAGCGTCAAAATACGAGGACAAAATACACAACAGCGTCAAAACACAATGATAAAATATACCACAGCGTCAGAATACAAGGACCAAATATACCACAGCGTCAAAACACAAGGACAAAATATACCACAGCGTCAAAACGCAAGGGCAGAATATACCACAGAGTCAAAACACAATGATAAAATATACCACAGCGTCAAAACACAATGATGAAATATACCACAGCGTCAAAACACAAGGGCAGAATATACCACAGCGTAAAAACGCAATGGCTGAATATACCACAGCGTCAGAACGAAAGGGCAGAATATACCACAGCGTCAAAACACTATGATAAAAAATACCACAGCGTCAAAACACAAGGGCAGAATATACCACAGCGTAAAAACGCAATGGCTGAATATACCACAGCGTCAGAACGAAAGGGCAGAATATACCACAGCGTCAAAACACTATGATAAAAAATACCACAGCGTCAAAACACAAGGGCAGAATATACCACAGCGTAAAAACGCAATGGCTGAATATACCACAGCGTCAGAACGAAAGGGCAGAATATACCACAGCGTCAAAACACTATGATAAAAAATACCACAGCGTCAAAACACAAGGGCAGAATATACCACAGCGTAAAAACGCAATGGCTGAATATACCACAGCGTCAGAACGAAAGGGCAGAATATACCACAGCGTCAAAACACTATGATAAAAAATACCACAGCGTCAAAACACAAGGGCAGAATATACCACAGCGTAAAAACGCAATGGCTGAATATACCACAGCGTCAGATCGAAAGGGCAGAATATACCACAGCGTCAAAATACAAGGACAAAATATACCACAGCGTCAAAACACAATGATAAAATATACCACAGCGTCAAAATACAAGGATAAAATATACCACAGCGTCAACACACAAGGATAAAATATACCAAAGCGTCAAAACGCAAGGGCAGAATATACCACAGCGTCAAAACACAAGGATAAAATATACCACAGCGTAAAAACGCAATGGCTGAATATACCACAGCGTCAGAACGAAAGGGCAGAATATACCACAACGTCAAAACACAAGAACAGAATATACCAGTGTCAAAACAGAATGTACCAAAGTGTCAAAACACAAAAATAAAATATACCACAACGTCGAAACGCAAGGGCAGAATATACCACAGCGTCAAAACACAAAAACGAAATATATCACAGTTTCTGATCGTATTTGTTTGTATTACTATAATAATTGAATTCTTAACGTACACTTAATTTCTTTGTATAGTTTTGGCAACAGTAAATTTGGGACCCCATTACTGACCTTACATTGATTGGTTAGTTCTAAAACAAATTTGTAGCATTCATACGCGTATAAAGTGCCATGTGCTATTTAATAAACATTTATTCATTTTAGTCTGTTTTCCCATATAGAATGTACATTTTCATTTAATCTGACCCTTTTTTGATTTGTTGCAAAACCACTTGGTTGTTAAGATGGAATGTATGGTGATTAGTTAAATGGACGCTTCCCTTTCCCCCTGAAGCAGTTATAGCCATTTATTTTCTACCCAATAATCTGCCATTCGTACATCTAAAACGATTTCCTTGTTGGTACAAGTCATTTTATAACAGTAGCAACCCAGGATGGCATGCCGACTGACAACTCTATAAATTTATTGACTAGATACATGGCCGTTATGTATATGACCCCAGTGCAACATCTTAGCCTGTCTTTACTCCGGATAAATTCCCACTGGGGCTTCCTTGAAGCGGTTCGTCTATGCGTCTGATTACTAAGTTAGTAAGCTAATGCGTACCAAGTGTGAATGACACAGAGTAAACCAATCTTTATCTATACTGTATTTATGGTATCAAATTTCAAGCTTTCCCACGATTCTATGATTCTGTTCTCTTTTTCATACATGGAATGGTAATGGAATTAGTCATATTTATGTAAACAGGAAAGTAAAATATAAAATTAAACAATTTAAGAAATAACCAACTTTTACCTTCCTTGACGGGTGTAATATCAAATATCAGTTCAAGGCTTCTTATATCAGTTAAACTGTCTAAAACAGCTAAAGACGATAACAATACCATCTATATCATTAAGGTATAAATACACAATGATAATCGAATTGCGTTTTTTTTTTAAATGCGTCCTGTTAACAGCTTAAGTCATATGCAAATAGTGTTCATAGTAACGGGCTAACTAGTCTTCACTTGTATCGTTACGCTGGGGAACGTTTCACATTAGCTAACAGGTTATCTTGATAAAATTGCATGACTATTAGGAACAGATTATGAAAAATACGGCTATACAGATGTGTAGAAGTATAATAATATTGGTTCACATAAAACCGACTTTTAAATGTGACAAAGACACAGTTTAAATAATTTGTCGTGATGTGACCTGGTTTTAAATTCTTTAGGCACTGCCGGTATCCAAGGGTAAGTATGTCGCATATCTGGATAAGATCGGGAAACAAATTATAACCGTCTTGAGTTTAAAAATGTGATGCTTCAACGATGTGCAAACAACGATATGTGTAATACATTAATCACCCTTTTAAGAAAATGCTTCTTATTCAAAGAGATATTTT